TAAAATACCAATTTTTAATTGATTCATTCTGAAAACTAGTGACTGAAAATAAGTTGCTATCCCTATAGACAAGTAACTGGAAGGAGACAAAGTCATCGTGACAGCTCTTCAGATTCTGGGTGAAAGAGCTCTGAGTGAAAATAATGTGAATTGATTAAACTGCTTTTTTTCTTTTCTTCTTTTTAGGAGAAGTGGAACATCTTGCCAAAGAGCCAAACTCATTCCTTTTGGGGCAGCTTAATTGCACAAGCTTTATGCTAATTACTGTTGTACAGATTTGGCAGCTTTACAAAAATTTTAAACTTGTATGTGCAAGTTCAAGAAATCTATTTCAATGGCTCAGAGTTAGGCTATGAAGGCGTTTCAGACAATGCCAACTGTAGTAATGCTTGCTTTTTTTTTTTTTTTAAACCTGTGAGTAGCTTATAATTTACAGTTTCATAGGAATTTGCTTAACAAATGTGGACGTGGTTAGTTGTCTGCCTTCCAAAACCCAAACCTATATTTCTTCATATCCTAGGATGTTGTCTGTCAGATGACAAGTTTTTTCAGAAACCCGAGAAGGCCATCTTTGGGGTGGGTGTTGTCCCTGTACTTCATGAATTCTACTCACAGCAGGCCTTCAGCAATATAGAGGCTCCCTATTCAATATCCAGAATTCATGAAAGGGCAAAGATTCACAAGTCATGACAGAGCAAAAAGAAGAGAGTAAACAACACAATGGAGATAGACTAAGTCTTTATTTCCATGTGCCAAGGAGGGTTGGGAGAGAATTATTTAAGTAATAACCCTTCTCTTTTTGGGGGGAGTGGGAGTACCAGGGATTGTACTCAGGGGCACTCAACAACTGAGCCACATCCCCAGCCTTATTTTGTATTTTATTTAGAAGACAGGGTCTCACTGAGTTCCTTAGTGCCTCGCTTTTACTGAGGCTGGCTTTGAACTTGGGATTCTCCTGTCTTGGCCTCCCAAGCTGCTGGGATTACAGGTATAAGTAACCCTTCTTGATTTAAAAAAAAAAAATTAAAACAAGATTGAAAGTGGCTTAAAGAAAGGACAGTTTAACTCAGAGTTAGGTACTTACATCAAGTTAAAAAAACCTGAGATGATGAACCCAYATCATCTTGATAGGTGGTAGGCTAATACTAGACTGGCACATAAGGAGGAATTTGGGGAGGAAGRAAAATTTGGAAGAATTTCAGTTAGAGGTTTATTTTGATGAAGGAAAAGTATCATCAGTCTTAATCTTGTGCTGACAAAGTTTAAATAGTTGGGTAAAGTCTTGCAGCACCATATCAGAATACAGGGAGTTGTATTCTATACTTCTTTTCCAACATTATATAATGTTGGTAGAAATGATGGTAGAGATGYAAGACATTTTACGTTGCCTTTGGAAGTGGCAAACTATGTTTTCTCCTGATTGGTGGGATGGTGGGAAAGGGATTAAAATCAATCTAGCTTTCAGCTGAATCAGACCAGAAAATTTCTTGTTAGGCTAAAGTGACATATTTGCTGTACCATTATACTTATAGAAATTTGCCAAGAAATTTTCCAAGACTGGAAATGAAATTACCAATAGTATCCTAAAACATGGTAGAATGCTCTCTTAACTCCTTATTTTCCTGGCATTATAAGAAAATCTTGCTTCTCCATCTTAAAAAATAAACAAACAAACAACAACAACAACAACAACAAAAAAAAACCCACTAAGAAAAAACCTTTTGTACCCTCAGGACTGAAACAGTAATGAGAGACGAGAGTAGAATACTGAGTTGGTGTGTTTACCGGCACTTCAAACACATTTCAATGCTGTGAAATTATCATGGGGGTTGTTATCAAACTTCAAGGTGGTTAAAGATGATTACAAGACAAGTTCTGTTGCTGAAGGATTTGCTGACATCTAATGCCTTTCTTTCTTCAAATGAAGGCAAGGATGACATTTCTGAGTTAATAAAGGATCTGAGAAGGATGTGGCCCTGAGCAATACTTTTATACTCATTACTTTTTTTCTATGTGCCTATGCCACTCTCCCCCCACCTAGGCACCCACACAGCCTACCTCCTCTCTCATCATTATTAATCTAACCTGAATGACTCTATTCTTCTCCAAGTGAACACACCCAGTAACAGCAGTGAATCATAGACACTTTTGCTTCTCTAGTCTCTAATGGACTTGACAAAAAGCCAGATCTGGTAGAATAAAAAGAATAGGAACTTAAGTGAGGYGAGCTCTTTAGGTTTTTGTTCTTTATGTTATCCTGAATATTAGTTATTAGTTAAATGTTCTGGATGCCTGATCATGGAAAGATTTTTATCACACTAACAATATTGAGCCTTCCCCCATGTCCGTGTTCTAAGTAACCACTCTATTCAGTAAGGCAATCTCTGAGGCTTGCCTAAGAACTAAATCTAGAGCTCCTTCATTTTGGGATTGCTTCAATCCCAAGTTAAGAAAGACTCCTTTCTCGCTTAACTTGGCAAAAAAATTAATCATTTAGCTCACAAAGATCACCATTTGGTAACTAAGTCTTCAATAGTCTCTACAAGTGAGGCAATTACACTTTTGGAATCCCAGAAGGGATTTTTAGGTAACAGAGGAAGAAATTATTTGTTAATTATTCTCAAAGAGATATCTATGAAATGACAGACCACTAAAACACCTCTGTTCCATGCATAGGTCTGTAAGTACGTTTGGAATTCACAGGAAGAGAAAACTACAGAAGAATTTTTGAAGATGATTTTCAAGAAAAAAAATGTCATAACAAATATTAAAAGTCAGTTAAGGAGGACTGGGTTGTGGCTCTGTGGTACAGCACTTGCCTAGTTAAGTGTGAGGCACTGGGTTCTATCCTTAGCACCACATAAAAATAAATAAATATAGGTATTGTATCCATCTACAACTAAAAAAATTTTTTTTTAAAAAGTCAGTTAAGGAAATTTAGCAGATTTTCTTCTGTAACTAATCTGAGTTCAGTTTCTTTAATTCGTCCTCACAGACATTATAAATCAACTTAATCATATGAATTTTGCACAATTCCTCACTCAAATGGATTTTAAAAAATAAAATAGTCTTAAAAATTGATAGTCTTAAAAAATTCCTACAGATCCTAGTCATGAATACAAGACACCTTTTTTTGGTCAATATAAGAAGTCTGTGGAATAGATTTATATCATCCTGAGATTATTAAGATTTAAAAACTAATGCTAAACCTGAGAAATTAAAAATAAAGAATTCTACTGAAATGAAAACTTAAATTGTGGACAAAAAGTACATTTGTGTGTGTGTGTGTGTGTGTGTGTGTGTATGCTTAAGGGGGAGGAGAGAAAGAGAAGACTATTCACTATTGTTTTCTTGTCATTAAAAAAGAATAATAAAATAAACTCATAAAGATTTTTAGGTCTATGTCATCATCGCACCAACAGTAATCATAGACAAGAATGGAAGAAGCATTTTACCACTCCCTGGTGAATAACAAAAGGACCAACAGTAGCCTAGGGTATTGAAGAAATTTTAAAACATGCAGAAAGTCTGACTTAGGTTGCTATTAATCACAATTAATAATCTTTTAATTCTAGTGCTTAAATTGTTCTCTATGGCAAGGTATGGAGTCTTTGCTTTCTCGCTCAACTGGGCAGTGTTCTTTCCTACTTGAAAAGTTCCATTTGAAACATACAACATCCTGTATCAGATATACCAAACTCTTCACAGTCAAATAGATTTCCGGTCACTAAAGTCACAGAGACGTTGGTTAGGCTTTATCTAAAGGTACATGAAAACTACAGGGGCTAAAATCCATTTATTTTACTCTAAGTTGAGAGTGGAAAGTGATTTTCCAATTTTGTATGTAACAAGAGTAATACAAATTCAGTAAAGGGGAGTTCATTTTTTTTTTTCCTAACAACATGTACAAGTCAGAGATGGGCGTCAACAAATGCACATTTCTGAATTCAGATTTTTCTGAGTACTCATTCTGAAGCTTTGAAACTCGGGCCAAACAATCTTGTTTTAATATACCAATTCATATAAAAAACAAGTCAGAACATTTGCAAGGCAAGATGTTGTTTTTCTTTATGTAGCCAGCAAAAACACAGCTCTAGGTTGTAACTATAAAAGGATTTGGGAGCAGCTGATTTTAAGGACTCATAAAAACAACTCACCCTTATGCCCCTAGGTGTAAAGAATATGCGGAGTCTGCATTGTGCTTCTATTATCAGGACAAATCATTCTGCTTTATTCAATGAGATGAACGCATGCCAGGGGATAAGTAAAGGAAAAAAATGTACATATTGAGATCTGTGGGGAACGTGGCTTCACACTAGTGAGCCAAATCCGAGATTTAGAACCAATCACAGCACCTTTTTTTTTTTCTTTTTTAGCGCCCTCCGCCCCCTCCCCCGACCGTGTTTTTGTTTTTGTTTTTTGTTTTTTTTTTGGAGGGGGAAAGAGAAGAGAAAGAGTGAAAGTTTGCGTGATCCATTTCTTTAAATYAGGGACCGGTGAATAAACTTGACTGTCAGTGGCCTCTCATGAATTCCCTTTGCCCGGGGGAAATAACGGTTAACAAAGGAGACAAAATGAGGAGCTTCGGCTTGGACCTACACAGTYCAATGCCGACATTTACGCTCCAAATCAGTGCATTACGTTTTCTTCGGGTCCTGTATTTACACCTGACCGCTCAGGACTCCAGTTACTTCCTTCTGGCTGCTTCTAAGCCATTATTATCAGACCTTAGTAGAATACAAAGACTCAAAATGGCCACTCGCTAAGACTGAAAACACTGGCTCCTTCAAATTCCCAACTTCCCCATGACTCAGAAGCTACATAGCGGCCTTTCCCTCAGCCCAGCGCTCCACCCAAGTTCGCTCTCTTGGCAGTTGCGTGGCAACAGCACGTCGCATCACCGGAAACTGCGTTTTCCAGCCAAGAGCGCAGCCAACCAGGGCTCAGCAAGGGCCCCGCGCACCCCTAGCGTCCTCCTTCTGGACCCACCCAATCGTCCTCAGCGCTCATTCTCCTTCCGGTACTGCGCCACGGAAAGTTCCGTTGTCTTCTTTTTAGCTCGCATTTGGCTAACYGGTAGGAAGCCACTTTCTAAGGGGTCTGAGTTTTGAGGTGGACGCAGTGGAAAGCGTAGTGAGGCGACTGCTGAGTTTTGGGCAGCAAAATAAAGCTAGGAACTCTCTGAGCAGAACGTGTGGGGACTCGGTGGGTTTCTTGTACGTTTGATTCTCCACAGGTTGGAACCCATCGCTGCTCTTTGGCGGTCTCTGCCCTTTGGAGCGTTTGTGAGCTGTACAGTTCGGGTCCCGCCATGTCTGAGGAAAGCAAGTGCTGTGGTGAGCGCGCAGACAAGCCCGAAATCAACCGGGAGGACGGTGCTGGGGACACAAACAAGGATGCAGGTAGGGAAGGCGGTTGACGGGGGGGAAAAAGGCCAGCGGAGCCGCGAAAGGGAGCGCGCCCTGCTCAGGGTAGGCCAGACGCCCAGCCCCGCCCCAGATGCCACGCGAAGCTCGTGCCCGCTCGGCGTTCACCGCCCTGGAGCGCTGGGCGGGGCATAGCCGCGCGCGCCCGTCAACCCTGCCTATCACACGTCTTGGCGCCTCCCGTGTGGCCGCATCTCGCCCCCTGGTGGAGGTTCGCGCCCTCGCACGCGAATATTTGGTCCTCCGGTTTCTCGCGCGGCCACGCCCCGGGGCAGGGTTGSTTGTCGGCGCAGCTGCGCGCGCATGCGGGGGAGGGGGATGGCTGATGAGGTGGCGGGCTCCGGGGCTGGGGGGCGCCTGGGAGCTGGGCTTCGGGAGTGTGCTGTGGAGTCGTGGGGTACCGCCTTTCCTTCGACGGGGGCTCGTGTCTGGAGGGGTAGTGGGCTTTCTGCAGCCGGGGGAAGGCGGGGAGGACCCCCCCTCTGTTTTACCCTGCTAAAGTTGAGTCCTTTGTTGGAGGAGACGACGTCGTCTCCTTTTCAGAGTTTTTTGGTGCTTAAAAGCGGCGCGGACAGACCTCCGTTTGTTGGGCCTGTATTTCTTAGGCCCCTGGCCTAGAGGGTTCACTGGTTCTCATCACGCAGCTGGCGGGGTTCAGGATGCTTGATGGGCCCGCCGATGTTTTTCAAGTCATGATTTTGGCTGTATCTCATACAATTATGAAGCGATCTTAATGAAATTAAGGAATTCCTGACTGGATAGTTGTTAACTCTCCCGTTTTCTTCTCCGTAATGTTGATATTTTGAGAGAGGAAAACAAGGTCTCTGAAATATATGCCAAAAAAATTTTAAAAAAAGCCCCCAAACAGTTTCTGTGTGGGAAACTGCAAAAGGAGCAAGATTGAATTACAACTCTATGTAGTTAGAAGTTGCTAGTTTATTTATGGGTGTTTTGTACACTATGAAAAAAGGCTGTGGTAAAAGATGAGAACTGTAGCGATATGATTAATCTGATTCTCATTTTATAATTTTTCTTTTTTAGAAGAGAGTAAAGATCTCATTTCCACAATGCAAAGTTCACCAGATAAAGCTAGGACTCCACAAGACTCTGTGGATCCACCATCTCCTGATGCGGATAGTTCACAAAAAGAAGTATGACAGTCTTGGTTCTTTCAATGGATTGGTTCTGGTGTTGTGGCAGTAATTGTTTTAAGTCTACTGAAGAGTGGTAATTAACATGATGGTTAACAGATTTTCATTCTGAATCCATTTCACTTAGTTTAAGGTCAGGTTATGAAAGTCTTTGGTGCAGTAGGACTTTTCCTCAGTAATTCCAAAACGTCAGGAATAGTGTCAGGCCCATGCTAGGTTTTTAAAATATTTTTTGTAGTATTGAAGTTTGAATGCAGGGCTTTGCACATGCTGGGCACGCACTCTACCACTGAGCTGCAACTCCAGCTAATACTGGGATAAATGTCTCAACACTGTTTTAGAAAGGTGTTGATCTTGCTAAGTAAGGTAAAAGAAAATGAAACTAAAATTAGACATTTTGTCATGCTTGCTTTGATGCATGGAGACAGAAAAACCAGCTAGTGGTACCTACCATAGAAATGTAAGATTGTTTCTTCTAGTTGCCTTATTTTCTTTGGAAGTGTTTCTCTTGATGAATGTTTTTATTTTTAAAACAGCCTACAAGTGCAACAGTTACAGACAAAGTAAAGAAGACAAGAATTTCATCTAATTCTTGCAGTGTGATAAAACGTCTTAAAGTAGAGAAGAAAGAAAATGATCAGAATTTTTCAGAGAAATCGGCATCTTCAACATTAGAAAACAGCTTGGAATCTCAAAGTTCTAAACACAAAGGCACTGAATCTGAAGAAAATGCACAATTGAAAAATACAGTCAAGAATGTCACTGCAGGTAAATCTGAGTCCGTTGATTCTGTGATTGAGAAACCTAAACCAGGATTAAATGAAGAAAAAGCACTATTGGTGAAGCAGGTTCGTGACAAAGAAGAGCTGCTTCGGAGGCTAAAACTAGTCAAAATGTATAGATCAAAGGTGAGAATTTAAGAACCAYTGCATAATCATAAGTTTTTGCTTAAATTGTGTAAAAGTAATTTCAAAAATAGGAAGCAAATTTATTTTAGCATAATAAATAACAGAAAAATGTCATCAGTTTAGGGTTGAGTGAGAGACCTGTAAATACCAATGAAACTTTTAAAGAAAATGTCCCAGTTTTCATTTGATAACGCAGTAGGAGATTTTCTCTAGTTTACAACCCACAGCAATATTAGATGTATCAAATGTTAGATGAAAGTATAATGGGAACAGAAGTGACTACTGACAATGAATAAAATCAAAAGTGGTCACAGTATAATAAAACATATTTTTAGTAATGATACTGTGTTTCTTCCAAGGAATTAAAATGTCTTAGGCAGTTTGTCTGAAAACAACAAAAAATATATATTAGATTTTTGGTTTTAACTCACATAGGTTGAATTGTATAGAACCCTGGTTCTTAGAAGGAAGAAGCCTCTATTACTTGGATAATTTCTGAATATGTAATAATTCATGTTTCCTCAACAATGTGGAATAAATGATGGAATAACATATCATTTGCTCCTTTTGAAGTTTTAGGAGTTTCCTAAATGTGACTTATTTATGAAATATCAAAATGAAAAAACTTTATGCATTGTCATTTTTTGAACTTTTGGGCTCGCAGCAAAATTGGGTGGAAGGTACAGCATCTTAAGGACATGGTATAAAAGTATAACTACTATAAAAAGTGGACTATTTTTAAGTGTGTTATCGTTTCTCTATAGACATTTCTGCTAGGTAAATGTCTTATTCATCCCCAGGATGATGATTGCCTTTAACTTAGATGTACATTACATTTTTTAACAGCTTTGATTAAGTAAGTTAAAATAGCATGATCATCTGATTATTGACTTAACATTCATTGATTTGTTTTCTGTTTCAGAATAACCTGTCTCAGTTAGAGATATTAATATCAAAGTGGAGAAACTGTAGCCAGCTGTTGCTTTATGAGCTGCAGTCACTCATGTCGGAAGAGAAGAAAATAACCCTTACTCAATTGATAGACCTCTATGGGTTGGATGATACACTGCTGCATTTTAATAGAAGTGAAGAAGAATTTGCAGGTGTTTAATTCATAATTTTTTCTTGAGAAATATCTTTGAAAATGATACTTGCACATTTTAAAGGGGAGATATGCACATTAGGGCTTTGATGACTATCAGTTTAGGACAATCTATAATTTTTTTTTTTTTTTTTTTTTTTTTAGTTGTAGATGGTTACAATATCTTTACTTATTTTTATGTGGTGCTGAAGATTGAACCCAGTGCCTCACACGTGCAAGGCATGCACTCTACCACTGAGCCACAAACCCAGCCTTGTGAAATGTATAAATTTTTTTTAATATTTATTTTTTAGTTGTAGTTGGACACAATAACTGTATTTCACTTATTTATTTTTGTGTGGTGCTGAGGATCGAACCCAGGATCCCGCACGTGCGAGGCGAGCACTCTACCGCTGAGCCATAACCCCAGCCCAAATGTATAAATTTTAAGTTCGAAAATTCAATGTTTAGGGTAGATTTGGTAAAGAAAACTTGACATTCAAAAAAAATCATATTTAAAAAGAAATTTGGATAGTTTTGGCAACTAGTTTTAGTAAATCATTTTGCTTTTAGTAGCAAAAAGTTTTATTTTCAATGTTTAAAAATAATTCATTCTAGATGGGAACCCCAGAGGAGTTGTATTATTGTACTGCTAACCAGCCTGCCTCCATCAATCACTACTGCTTTGTAGGGTGGAGTGGTGGGAGGAGGGTCTGAGTGGGGGCGGGGCGGGTGGCAGGCAGGCTGGCAGGGAGTGGTGGTGATGGTGGCTAAATGTGTCAGGGGACTCATGCTCCTGGTGGTAGTGTTGGATTGTTTTTGTTTTTTAATTTGTTCTTTTTAGATATACATGACAGTAGAGTGTACTATTTTGACATTATACATGCATGGAGTATAACATTTTAATTAGATGCCATTCTTGTGGTTGAACATGATGTGGAGTTAAATTGGTTGTGTGGTCATATGTGAACATAGGAAAATTATCTAATTCACTCTACATATTGGTAGTTAAAAAGTCCCTCTTCTAAGTTTAGGAATCTTTGTTTCCATTCATTTTCCACATCTTTTCATCTGCTCTAATAGGGTTATTAAACATATGTCCCAAATTATATTGGTTTGTCTCTTGAAATTTCTCATATTCCTTTTAGTGAAATGACTGTTTCTTAGGAAACTATGTATCATTTTCTATATCAAGGTATCCTGGCATATGAGGTCCTTCATATTCATTTACCTTCTAGTTTCATCTGTGAAATGAACTGAGAGTGTCCGTTCAGTTCATAGTGCCTTAGTCAGAAACCCGTCTTCACAGGGATGGATTTGTGCTGCCAAGTTTCACAACTGTACCTTTTCATCCTGGCTGTATGTGGAGATATGACTCAAGCTGGCCCAGTCACAGAATTTAAAATTGAGCTCAGGGAAAGAAACCTCACCTGTTTGTGGCTGGAGCTATTATATATAAACTTGGAAGCTGCAGAGCTGACATCCTTGAAGGGTGGTGTGTGCTTACTGAAGGATAGGGATAGATCTTTGTGAATTAGTAGTTTCTTGGTTCTAATTGCCAGTTATTCTGAAAGGTCTTTTGAGTTTTTGCCTTTAGGGGCTAACAGCTTTATTTAGTATTTGGCTGCTAGTTGGTAAACAGTAGCCCTCCCCCAGATGTTCCTCACTTTGAACCTAGGTCCCTCCCTCTTGCTCTACAAATCTTTTAATGTTTGGCACAGCAGGGGAACTAGGGCCCTACTCTTGCATCCATTTCAATACCATCCCCCATCACCACTACACACAAATTCCTGCTTCTGACACTTACATTGCCATTGGCATTTGTGAATCCTAGAGGACTGGCCCCAGCCTCACATGAGCCTCTCCTGGGATTTCTAGTTGGACACTTCTGGGGAGCTGTACTATTCTAGTGGCTACTAGCCGCTTCTATCACTGCTTCTCATTTGGCCTAAATGTGGCAGAGGAATCATGTTCCTGGTGGTAGTAGTGTTGATTAGCTCTTGGAGGCTGTAGCTTCCATTCTCTGGAGTCACCATATATGGATGCTGGTGGGAATTATAGCATGAGTGGGACTCTGGTTCTGGGAGAGCTGAGGAAATGATAATGGAATTTAAGGCATTGGCACCTAGCCCTAGCTGAGGACCCCAACAGCACAATGGGCACTTGAGAAATAGGAGGTAGATTATGGTGGATGAATGGGGCTTATGGAATATAGTTTGAGGTCTGAGGATGCTCTTGGGTAGTCTTTTTATTGTTTTGGTGAATTTTACCTCCATTTATTGAAAACCACTGAATACCACATTTTTATAGATTAAAAAAGAGGGCTAAACCCTTGCTTTGGCCAAATTTAAAGAGTCACCAAAATGATGATGGTTCAGTCATTTACTTCACCATCACTATCCAGCACTAATCACTATGTGGGTGATCAATTGAACCTTAGTTGTTTTTTAAAGGGATTTTTTTCCTTGTTATTTCAGTGCTGGGTATTGAACCCAGGGACATTCTACCACTGAACTACATACATCCTCAGACCTTTTAATTTTTATTTTGAGACGGGGTCTTGCTAAGTTGCCTCAGCCTCTCAAGTTGCTAGGATTACAGGTGATAACCAATACACCCAGCCTAAATGGAAGGTTTTATAATAGCTCTCTGGCTTCACCAGCACCAGTGTATACTGGAAGTGGTAGTGTGGATTAAACTTAACCTTTAGTTTATAAATTGCAGAACAATGAAGCAGTGATATCACTTGGAGAATGTGGTCAGTGATCCCAGTGGTATCACCTTGTAATGCAGCAGTTTACTGGCTGTGGAAGGGTGAAGAAGTTTTCTGCCAGTTAGTGTTTTCATTATGTAATTATCATCTACATGAGTAAAATGATAAATTATTTAATGGAAATGAGAAAGCATTTTTTCCTTGTTTACTAAATGCTTATTGGATAGAGCACAAATTAGAGCTCTGTTTGAAAATTATATTCTCAAAATATATGTCATAATTTACAAATGAGTTAAGGCTTGGAAAAAGTCAACAGTTTTATCTTTATTAATAGAATGGGGAAAAAATTCCAAATTTTTAGTAATTTTAAATAAAATTAAAATAAGTCTCGAATACTTTATGGTTTAAAATCTTGTTCTTGAATAAAAGCAATTTCCAGTATTTTACACATTTATTCATGCAAGACAAAAATTTATATGCTAATTAAGGCTAAAATCAAACAATTTGCTATTGAAAACCTGCAACTAAGAGGTGACTAATTTAAGTTTCCCAATATGAAAGAAAAAGAAATCATTTTACCCAAATGAATTGATTTTTGCAATAATTAGTTTGGCTTTGTTTTTCTTGCTAGCCTTTTACATTTGAACAAGAGCAGGAAATGTTTTCATCCTTAATCTTTCAACTTCTGCTTGTAGTATTGAAATCTGTTCAGCCTGTTGTTTTGAAATATTTGTCAGCTTCTGTTGTTGCACCATGTTTTTATATCGTTCTTTGACAATCTTTTCACAAGTCAGTTGCGTCCCTATCCCAAAAGTGAAGAAGGAAGGAATAAGTTGGATTATTATTAATGCTTTAGGGTATAGGAACAGCACTCAAGTCAGTTGTATGGAAGAAACACTGGTAGCTTTATAACTATTCTTAAGTTTTCAGGAGTATAGACTTTAAAGAAAATCTATTGTTGATAAAAGGGAAAAAGCTTACCCATTGCATTGCAGATGTCTTTTCTCTCTGACACAGCTACCAACTCTTCTCGTAGATTGCAGCTTAGAGTGTAATTTGCTACATCTTTTTGATTACTGAATTTTTCCAATTTTTTGAGTAGTTTTTTGCAGTTTTCGACATTCTTTTTGTGGGTCTGAAAGTTTTTATTCCCATGAAGCCCCACAAAATAATTTTGAAAAAAATGTAATTTATATATAAAAAAAGTTATCATCACTAAGATAACATCTTACACCATATCCCCAGTGCCCGGTGTACCGTCCGTCCCTAGTAGTCACTCAAATTATTTGTTTAAAGATAGAATGATTGTTAATACTACAATTTACAAAACTTTTTGTATGTTCTTAAAAATGAGATAATTTTTTAGATTACTTTGTTTTCATATTACACGTACTACATAATCAAAATTAAGCATTTGTTTTTCAGTTAAGACAAAGCTTTTACAATGCCAAGGAAAATTACCAACACTTATTGTAAAATTAAAACAACCTAACTGTTCAGATATGTCCCCAGAGGTTAATTTTAATCTTTAAAAATGTGCTTCAGGGCTGGGGTTGTGGCTCAGTGGTGGCATGCTTGAGGCCCTGGGTTCAATCCTCAGCACCACATAAAGATAAATAAATTAAGGTATTTATTTAATTGTCCACCTACATATAAAAACATATGCTTTAGTCTATGCCACTGGTTATGGTCACCACTGTTATGGTTGCAAAGACACTATTATTCAGAGACCTGTAATTACTTTGAAACTGGGAAATAAGCAAGGTTTTGTTAGGTTCTGTCGGAGTTCATAATTGAAACACTGATTCCTTTGCTCAAAGAATCCACCACTCTTGGGATTACAGTGATCAATATCATTGAGACTTACCTTATCTATAACTTGAATGGTTTGCTCCATTATTCCAATCTGAATAGCAATCAGAGTCTCGTAGTTTGATTCATTTAGGTACTTCAAGAGGGGAAAAAAAAAMCCCACAAATAAGGTTATTTTTTCTTTCTTTGAATGGATAAATACATAAAGACTTTTTGTTTTCCTTACGATACTAGAGAGTGAACCCAGAGGCCCTCTACCAATGAGCCACACTCCCAGGTCCTTTTATTTTATTTTGGGACAGTGTCTTTGCTGCGTTGCTGAGGCTAGATCTTCTTGCCTCAGCCTCCCCAGTTACCGGGATTATAGGAGTGTACCACTATTTCAGACCTTATATATATATATATATTTTTTTTTTTTTTTAGTTCTGAAAATTATTGTTTTGCATAGCAAATATTAAGATTGAGTTGATTGAGTCTATTTTCTTTCAGCTCATCAAACAAGTTACCCACATTAACAGTGTTCCAGTTAAAGATACTGAGGGAAATAGTTAAAGATACTGAGGGAAATAAAAAAAAAAAAAAAAAAAGATATGTAGCATGACCTACTCTTCAAAAAAAAGAAAAGATAGAGATTTATGCAAATTCACAGCATTTTTCCACACTTGGGAAATTAAGAGAGGCTTTACAAGGAGGTGATGTTTAAACAAAACATGGGAAAAGTGGTAGGTTTGGGATGTTAAAATTAAAAAAAAAGAATGTCTTTCCAGATAGAAGAATTGGTATGAGCAAAGACACAGAGGTAGAAGCCTAAACAAAATTGGTACTCCATTTGGTTTGAGAGTACTAATAGTAGGAAATGAGATTAATACCCAGAACTGATAGTGGTATACCAACGGAGCTATCAGTAGGGAATAAAACAGAATTTGAGGGAAGTCACGGATGGAGGGTTAGATTGGAATCCAGAGAGCTTAGATCCAACTTTAAATGTGATCACTGTTAGAAATATAGAGGTGGATCCTCAAAGGAGAGGACATGGGGGAAAATAGTGCTAAGGCTGATTTTTTTTTTTTTCCTTCTCCTTTCTCTTTCTTTGTGGCACTGGGGATTGAACCCAGTCCTTTTTATTTTTGAGATAGGATCTTGCTGAGTTTGTCGGCTGGCCTCCAACTTGGGGTTGGGGTCCTCTTGCCCCAGCTCTTCAAATTCAGGAATGTTTTACTATGCCCCAGACTAAGGCACACTCTTAAAGGAGAAAATGGGGGTCATACAAGGCAAAGGAATGAGTAATTAAGGTGGTCAAATGCTACAAAGAATTGAAGGCTGATAGAGACTGGGAAAAAAAGCCCTGGATTTAACAAATAGGAAATCTTTAGTGAACTATAAGAGAACTGTGCTACTGAATGGGTCATGAAGATGTGTAGGCAACTACTGGAAGAAAAATAACTCATTCACATATTCACCTAGGAAAGACTTCTAGCTCAGAATATACTTGACATCATGGAGGCTTCTTATTAAATGCCAGTTAAATGAACAAATGTATGAATGGATAAAGAGGGCAGGGAGAACTTGCCTTTTGACGCTGTCTTGAAAAAAACAGCATCTGAATATCCCAGGCCTTCTGATTTAGGTCTTCCATTTCCATCTCCATTTTCTTATGTTCCCACTCAATTTGATATATTCCTTTGTGTACTTCTTTACTTTCCATCATGCTAGCAACTTTCTTTTGACCTTGAGTCTTAAAAAAAAAAAAGTATTTGATATTCATATAACATGATTCTGCATGCGAAATTATGGAAGATTTGAAGTTGAATGTTATTCTCAGAAAATACTTGAATCACAGAGATAATTCTCTTAATGTGGTGCTGAAGATTGAACCTAGGGCAAGTGCTCTACCACTGAGCCACTACCCCAGCCCTAATACCCCAGCCCTAATTCCATCTTTATTAAAAAAAATTACTTAGTCAAAATCTGATCACTTACAGTGACTAAATAGAAGGGACAGAAACATTTAATAACTAAATTGATTGTCTTGGAATAGCAGTCCCCCCCCCCTTTCCTTTGAATTACCTATATGAAATTCAGGAAAAAAAATTTTGGTACCAGGGATTGAACTCAGGGGTGCTTAACCGCTGAGCCCTATCTCAAATTTGCTAAGTTGATAAGGGCCTCACTGAGTTGCTGAAACTGGCTTTGGATTTGTCATCTTCCTGCCTCAAGCCTCCCAAGTTCTTGGGATTATGTATGTTCGCCACCACACCTGGCAAATTCAGGAAATTTTTAAAGAAATTATTCTCCAAGACTGCTAATAATAAAACAATGGTGTTTCTAAGACAATTAACATTCTTGTATTAATTTAAGATTTTACATTTTTCTCTTTTCCAGTCTAGCTGTTCAAAGGTCATACCATCTCTCTTTTCTATTACTTCCATCTTCTGATTGTAGTCTGGGCCTCTCATTTCCTTACTTTCCATGACCTTTTCTCCCTTGCACTTCAGCTGGCTACCTCCCATGGTCATACCTCTGATATTTATCATCAATAGCTCCAAAACGTAAAGTTAAAACATTTTTTCAGAACACTGTTTCTCAACTGGGCGAAACATCCCTTCATCAGGGGACAATGTGCTTATGCTATGCCTAGAGACATTTCTGGTTGACACAACTGTAGGGGTTACTATAGGTACCCAGTAGGTAAAGGCTGTGCATGCTGCTAATCATCCTGCAGAGTGCAGAGCAGTCTTCTGCAACAAATAACCTTCTGGCCTCAGATGTTTGGAGTGCCAGGCCTGAGACGCTGCTTTAGAGCTACTTCTCCCGTGTGCTTTCCATCAGTCATCTTTTTTGTAGGATGCAGTTATAGACACTATCTTCACTTTCCTGTTTCATATTATTTGACCTTTACCAATTGGTGAAGACAGACCTTGCATCAGCAATCTAACTTTATAACTTATGGCATTAGAAAAAGAACAAACTAATCCAAGGCCATCAGAAGGACATAGAAGATTAAGAAAGTTGGTTCTTGGGGAAAAATAATTAACAGAATTGGCAAAACTTTAGCTTGAATAGGAAAAACCAAAAACTCAATTATCCAAAATTAGAAATGTAATCAGAGACATTATTAAATGCTACTTAAATTACAGACTAACTAATGAAAATTACATTAACAGTGAATAAAACTATGCCATGTTAGAATGAACATTTAACTCCATGTCTTAACGTATTATCTGTGGAAGTTTTAAAAAATACTCATACCTAGAGATAGGATCTATGCACAGATTATTCTAATGTGCAGCAACTGTTATGATTTATCACGGATTATCAGGATTAAAATTATTTGTCATGGGGCTGGGGATGTGGCTCAAGTGGTAGCATGCTCTTTTTGATCCTCAACACCACATAAAAATAAAGATAAAAAATTTATTTGTCCTGGAAATGAGGGAATAATGTAAAGTATAACTACCCGAATTACAGAATTCAAGTCTTCAATTATGGTCTTATTCATGAGAATTGCATCAGAATACTCCAGGATTAGTTGGAAATTCTCTAGTTCTACTTGTCCTTGCTTAAGAAGAATTTGGATGGTCAAATTCAACTGGAATTTCACTTTCTCGTCCTGTAATCTAAATGGAAATAGGCTTTAAATAAGTAGGTATAGTACATTTACATATCAAATTTAATATAAAATTCAGATCAGCTAAAAGAGAACATCCTGGAGATTAGTGTGAAGAATATTTTCCCAAGTGATTAGCTTTCCTGGACACCCCAGTGATACTCCATCCTACTGATTTGCAATATAATTGAATTGTTCAGAGAATACTATGGACAGAAATACATCCACAAATTTTTACTTTAGGATTAAGAAAAGATGGTAGGATTTTGATTGTAATAAAAATAAAGTTAAAGCCAGGCATAGTGGTGCATATCTGTAATGGGGGAGCCTGAAGCAGGAAGATTGCAAGTTCGAGGCCAACCTCAGCAACTTAGCAATATCCTGTCTCAGAATAAAAAATAAAAAGGACTAGGGATGGAACTTAGTGATAAAGAGCCTTGGGGTTCATTCCTAGTGCAATAAATAAATAATAAAAATGAAAATATAGAGATGCTGCCAAGTGTTTAGAGTCCATTAAAGTTGACTTTATTGATTTCTGATACTGTACTAACAATATTTAATCCATGTTCTACTTATCAAATCTAATTGTGCAAAATTCATATTTCTCCCGGTAGTCTAGAAGTCTAGATCTAAAAATGGTGAATGATGATAAATTTGGGAATATCGGAGATGAAATTTATCCATGAAGTCATCAATATGGCCTTTTTTTCCCCTTAAGTTACAGATGGACACATTGTTTTACTTTATGTGGTGCTGAGGATCCAACCCCCCATAACCCAGTGTCTCACGCATGCTAGGCGAGCGCTCTACCTCTGAGCCACAACCCCAGCCCTCAGTGTGACCTTTTGAAGCAGGGACTTAAGAGTATGCAAATCACTCAGTAAAAAACAATACTGTCCCTGAAAAACATGGAGCTGGGAGGTGTCTGTGTGGTCACTGCTTGGACATGTGCTTAATGTTCCACATAGTTTATATGTCTTAATCCCCCACACACTGAAACAAGTCTTATGTGACAAAATGTGCTCTTTTCACTTAGGCAATAGAGCAGAGACCCTGCGCCTACTGGAAGGAAGAGTAGGCACAGATCTCTACCATATCGGCTTAGGAACTGAATACCTTGGCAAGACTCAAAGAGTAAAAGAAATAAGATCAAAAATCAATAAATGGGATGGACTCAAACTTTAAAAAGCTTCTTCACAGCAAAGGAAACAATGTGAAGAGAGAGCCTACAGAAGGGGAAAAATTTATCACATTCAACTCAGAGCATTAATCTCCAGGATACATAAAGAACTCAAAAAATTTAACACCAAAAAAAAAAAAAAACCCAAATAACCCTATCAATAAATGGGCTAAGGAACTGAACAGACGCTTCACAGAAGAAGAAACAGAATCAACAAATATATGGAAAAAATATTCTAACATCCTAGCAATTAGAGAAAAGCAAAACTACACTGAGATTACATCTCATCCAGTAAGAATGGCAATCATCAAGAATACAAGCAACAATAAATGTTGGCGAGGTACACTCAAATATTGCTGGTGGGACTGCAAATGGGTGCAGCTACTATGGAAAGCAGTATGGCCATATTTGACCCAGTTACCCCACTCCTAGGTTTATACCCAAAAGACTTAAAATCAGCAGCCTACTACAGCGACACAGCCACATCAGTGTTTGTAGCAGCTAAACTATGGAATCAACCTAGGTACGTTTCAACAGATAAAGAAATTGGTATATATACACAATGGAATATTCCTTAGCCTTAAAGAAGAATGAAATAATGGCATTTGCCAATAAATGGATGCAACTGGAGAATATTCTGCCAAGTAAAATAAGCCGATCCCAGAACCAAAGGCTGATACTAATTCACAACAAGGGGGTGGTGGGGGAGAATAGTGGTATTCAGGAGTGAACGGGGAGGGGAGGGGGCGTGGGGTTGGAATGATAGTAGAAAGAATCTGACATTATTACCCTATGTGCATAAATGATTTACGTGACTTGAGTAACTCTATATCATGTATAACCAGACAAATGAGAAGTTATACTCATATATGTATGATGTGCTAAAATGCATTCTCATGTATTCTCATGTATAAGTAATTAGAGTAAATTTACAAAATGTGTTCTTTAGTATAGAAATTTTCAACCCAATACTAGGATTGAAAGGGATTCAGATGGATGGGTTTGCACAGATTTGAACAGCCAGTAGGCATTTTCCCCATGAGCATTGGCACCTGAGACAGCTCAAGACTGAATAGGTAAACCTGAATGAGAGGTTCGCATTACAGGAGGAGTTCATGGAACACTTTTTCAATCTCGCGCTGCACATGTTCATCATCCTCAACTCTCTTCCGGAGGAAAGCCATCATTTCAACTAAGCCAGCTGCCTTCTGCTTCACCTGAAGAAACCCAACAGCAAACTTTGACTTCAGAAAACATACATCTTTAATTTTGTTTTAAAAAATCACCAAATCTTAACAAGCCCATCTTTCTAAGATTAAAAAGAATTTAAATTCCTGCCATTATGTAGTAAGAGGTGTGTAAAACTTGGCGGGGCACATTCCATGAAAATTTTGAAGTGTATAGAATTGGCTTCTTGCTGAAAATCAAGAATGCAAGCAACTAGAATTTTCTTATATCTTTTTTACATTTGTTCCCTTAGATAAAATTGTCAGATCATAGATACTTCAACAAAAATAAGCCAGCCTGATTATGTGGCACTAAGGTAGGAATCTGGGGAGGGGAGGAGGAAGCCCCTTGAGCATCAGCAAGAGAAAGGATTCTTTCCCGGGATTCATACTCTCAAAATTTCCACCCTTTGCTACATCTTTTCTAGAAAAACTATATAAAGTTGGTCTAGTAAGCTTAATAAACTCTAGTCTGCAAAACAGGGTCAGCTGTAACAGTGCTGTCCAACAGAAATGAAATGTGAGCCATAGCCATTTAAAAGTAAAATGAAACAGATGAACTTAAATCTGTATGAAAAACATTTGAGACATTTCTCCTTCCCCCGCCCCCCATAAATGAAATCTTATAAATGTGTGTATTTTCCACCTTCAGCACATCTCAATTAGGACTGGCCACATTTATTTTATTTCAAGTGCACAATAACCGCACATCACTAGTGGCCCAGTTTTGGATAGTGTAGATCTATAAACAGACCTGCTTGAGGCCCTTGGTAGCATCAAAGTTAATATTTTACTTTGTTATTTTATTGTTAATATCTAAATCGTTAGCTTTTCTGTATGCATTGGTCAATGATACTATATAGTTGATATTAGTATATTAAGAATAAAGTGAAATAAAAAATGATATTACATACTTTGTGTTCATTTTCAACTTTTGCTCGTCTGGTTGCACAGAAATGATCCCAGACTGAAGGGTCCAAACCCTCTGGCATGTTGTTAATATTATCCAACTCATCCATGGCTTTCATTAAGTGGGCAAAAGTGTCCTTATTCAACTTGCCAGATCCCGGTCGTTCTCCAAATGGGGTACTACTGGCTGCCTCTGAGGGTGCTTTCTGTTTGTGAATCCTGGTATTAGCAAGAAAAGCCTGTCAACCTTTCACATTCTCTCGAGACACAACAACAAAATCATTATAAAATAATATTGTCAGCCTAGGCTCATAGGACATATTGCATGGCAATTTTCGTGGGCACATTAGTCCAAAGAGAGAAGCACCCACTTTGTTCTTCCATACTCTGGGTCCCCAGATGTGACCCTAGACTGGACTACAGATGACTAACTGTTGTCAGTTCTGGCAGCATTACTTTTGTGGGGAAACTTTCAGGCAAAGCAATGCCCATGGGAGTGTGGGTGGTCCTTGGGTCTGTCTGGCAAATCCTCTGCTGATATCCTTTTTTGCAGTAGATATGCTTAGATCTGTGTGAACTGGGGAAGTGTCTCTTATYCACGTAAACAGATTAGCTTTGTTTCCCTGTACTGCAGCAGGCACCTTGTAATCCACAGTGAGACTGGTGTTGCTGTCCCAACTTTTAGATAGGAAAGTTCGGCCCTGGGAGAAGCTGTTGGCCCACAGCTAGCTTCAGGTCTGATAGATGGGTGACTTAGGGACTTAAAATCTATTAGTTAACAAAGCTTGTGCTTTCTCCATTGTTGCCTCCTGACAGGTAGCAGGTGTCACTGCTTTCTTCACAAGGAAAGGGTATGTACTTGGGCTTGTGATAACATCTTTTTAAAAATAGGGAAACCAGGACATGAGTGAAACAGGTAAAATCTCAGACACAAATTAGTCTACTCCTGTGACAAACTTCATGAGTTTTAGACTACAAATCAGCAAATATAATTCTAAGGCTACTTACTCTCAGTTAAAGCATGGGAGGCTATTTATAGTCCTGGGGATTGAACCCAGGATCTTGTGTATTCTAGGCAAGTACTCTACCACAGAGCCATATCCCAGCCTAGAACTCTTGATAATCACTATTTTCAACCATTTATACTGGCATTTTTTTCCCAAACTTTGTTCAGAGAATAATCACATAATCTGAAGAAAAGAAATGTCTGATCATGTAAGTTTGAAAAACACTGCTTATTCTTACACTTGGAGATCCAAAGGCCAATAATAATCTCTGAGAGGTTCTGCAGTAAGGGATACTGTTTTAACTTTTTTTTTTTTTTTAATCTTGTATTTTCCCCAATTTATGTAGTCCTGGAAACCTGTTAGGTGCAAATCCAACTCATACCATCAGGGGCTGGTATTTGTTGGAACACATCTTGGGGGAAAAAACAAGTTTATGAACTTTTATGCTATCTATGACTCAAGAGGAACGACTTTCATGAGTGAAAGACACTTAATGCACTTGCGACACTTATGTAATTACCTTGCTTACGTAGAAATCTTTATTTTTAAATAATGAAAAGGAATATATTATACTTGTAGGCATAATCTCAAAAAATGCTGAATTATGATCAAGATGAACATCTTTCCCTAAAAGTTACACTGACAATTTCTGAGAGAAAAAGGCAAAATCTTATAATCCTCCTCTTCATTTAAAGGCCTTTCTTTTTTAGAAACATAATAGCAAAGGAGAAACAAACCTTGGTCGGCGTTTAAAAAGTTTGTAGAGTAGATCCACCTGATGACTGGGAATTTCAGAAAATTCCTTTTTAAAGCTTCGATCCAGAACCTAAGGATAAACACATCATTGCAAGAATGTAACTTTATTCAGAAAACTTTTTTTGTTGACAATATTCTTTAAAATACAGGTTGTAGCACTTTGATGTTAAAAATCCACAAAAACTTTTTTTATAAAATTGAAGATGATTCACAGTGCAAGTATTTCCCAAAGATCTTTTTTTGAATAGGAAGCACCTCAGTGTATTAAAAATGTTACTTCATATTAGAGGTCTTAGAAATCATTCATAAGTTTTCCAAAATAATATTTATTGACAAAACATGCAAGTTTCTCTATTCTATTCCATCTCCTTCCATTCCATTCTGTCTTTTATGTGCTATCGTATCCCATTCTTTTGCATTAGAAAGCTGCTGGTCAGACCTACTAAACTGATTTCATAACCAACTAAAGGAGACTGCACTCTTAAGTTTGAAAAGCCCTGGAAGTTCAATGATCTCCCTGTTTTTTGCATAAAAGAAATCTTAGATGAGAGAAGTTTACAAAAATTCTTTTTTCAGATTTTCAGAAGTGTTCAATGGCACAAAATGAAGTTCATTCATATATGGTAATTATAGTTGGAGAGAAATCTACAAAAGAGTTATATGTCATTCAGCTTTCCTCTAATCCCAAGAGCAACTCAACTGCATTATCAGTTGGTGAGACAATGATTCTCACCTTGTCTTCTGCCATTAAGATGTCATAGTGCTCCTTAAATACATCCAGTTCTTCTTTAGATTTCCGGATGGCTTCTGAAGTCTGGTTCTAGAATAACAGCAGGAGTAGTTAATTGGAACTGGAGACTTCAGTATAAAAATACAGGAGATTCAAAGATGAATAAAGAATTTTCTAGTACAAAGTAAAGGTGCCGTGTAGTATCTGTTACAGAAAACTTTTATAGAAGGAAGTAAACCATTTGGAGACTTGAACAAACCTCCAGTCACCTGTTCCTAAGGACAGTCAGCACTGTGTAAGTGCATAAGCGTCAGTGACAGAGTGTGTGGATGAGGAAAGTGCGCAGGTTTGAGAGTTCYGTGGACCTGGGTTCTGAGACTGAATGTAAATAGGGACAATGGCCAGCCATATGTAGAAACAGAACTCTGACCCACTGCAGCAAACACCTGGCAAACTAAACCAAAACCTTTGCAGTGATTGCCCCAAACTGTCAGGACTTGGTCAGTAATTGCCCG